CGGAGCCGGGGGCGGGAGGGCGGCTCCAGCGAGCGCGCTCCCGGCGCGTGCTCCGCTGGCTTTCCCTGGTGGCTCAGAGAAAGCGGTGTGTCCTGAGAGCGGTCCACACCTGGAACCGCGGACCTTCTGCCGCAGTGGGAGTGATTTCGAGGCGGGGTACTGTCCACTAGCTGGAAGAAAAGTGGGAGAGAAAGGGTAGTGTCTCCTGGAGGTGAATCCTGACCTAGACATCCCACTCCCAGCTACCTCTGAGCATAATACTTAAAAACAAAAACAAACAACAACAACAACAAAAAAACCCCACACACTTCTCCCCAGCATTAAAACCACTCAGAATCCTGTTGTCTGTCTACCTTAATGTTACTTCCTTGACATCAGGAATCCCTGTGCACTAGCATTAACCCAGCATAGTACTGTGTACGTCCTGGCAGGTGGTAGGCACCTAATATGTATTTGCTGAAGGAGTGACCTTTGCTTTATACTAAAATACATAGGCAGACTGTTTAGGTAGGTCCCGAGTTGAAAAGACTGTGTAGTACATGTGTCCCCAAGTTTCCTAAAGCACAGTATGTATTAGTTGCATTGTAATATACTTTTCATAAAGCTGGAAGTGAGAATGCAAACTCCCTAGGGTGTGTGTTCCTATGACTGTGTGATCAGGGAAACTTCACAGTGTACAAAGTGTGGGCATTGGAGGTGGGGGCAGGGCAAGGGGCCTGTTTACAGGAAGGGCCCCTTGTCAGCCTCAGCTTTCATATTGGCTGGGGAACTGCAGGACACCTATTACCATTTTAAAAATAAACACGTAAACAAATGCAACAGAACCATGCACAGACCTGTGGGGACACGTGAACTTGAGAAATAATTAATCCAATTCAATGCACTGAAGTCCTAAAAGAAGCAGGCAGGAGAGCAAGCAGATAAACCCAAAGGGCCCAAGACCTGCTGGCAGCGGCTGGATGGATATTAGATCTCATCTGTAGTTAACCAAGTACAAATCTCTTTAGGCTTCCGTCTCAACCCTGTGTGATTAAACTCACAGTTGTATCCTGAAAACTAAGTATGTTCTTAGGTAAAATACCACCCATGTCTAGTTTCTGAGCTACTGTAATATAACATCCATGTCTGGTTTCCTTTTTCTTTTTTTGGGAAGGAGTCAAAGCCTAGTGGCAGGAGTCTGGCTGGGGTGCCAGGAACAGCTTCTGACCTCCCTGTTCTTTGGAGCAAAGGCACTGACCCCCCCCCCCCCCTTCCCTCTTTTGACAAGGTGAGCTGGTTGTTTTTTGTCAACTTGATACAACCCTACATACGTATTTGGGAAGAGGGAGTCTCAATGGAGGTATTGCCTCCATCAGCTTATCCTGTGGGCAAGCCCGTGGGGCATCTCCTCCATGTCCTCTGCATCAGCTCCTGCCTCCAGGCTCCTTTCCTGACTAAGTTCCTGCCTTGATTTCCTCAGTGACTAACTGGGACGTATAAGCTAAAGAAACCTTTCTTCCCCAGGTGGCTTTGGCCTTGGTGTTTGCCACAGTGGTAGAAATGAAACCAGAGCAGGAAGCCAATGTCTGCCCTGTCTATGTCTGCTGGTGACCGAATGCAAGGGAAGTGTTGAAAATTATAAATGACTGTGCACATGAATATGCAAACAGACGTTTTCTAGTTCAGATACAAAAGAGTGCTGATTTTCTGAAATCGCAACCACTACACAGTCTCAAAAGGAGTTATGTGATCTGAAAAGCATGGAGAAACTCTTGTGTTTTGAATGGAAAGCTCTGGAAATCTGTGAAGTAATGCTGGCACCGATGTTTGATCTGTGATGATTGCAGGATGTAATAGTGAATACAAGGAACCAGTGACTGTGAAAGCGTTGGAACCAGCCAGCACGGGCAGCAACTAGAAGTCAAGATAGAGCTGCTCCCGTCTTCCGTTTAAACCCGGCAGCTCATTCACAAATGCCAGGAATGAAAGCCCTCTCTGTGAAGGCGTTCCTCTCTCAGGCAGTAGTTGGAAGATGGACTGAGGCATGTTCGCAGTTTTTGAAGAGCCTATTTGAGCAAAGCAGCTCTTTGTGGGCTGGACAGGGAGGCTCTGTTGGAAGATGCCAAAGGGAAGCTTGTACAGGGTGGTTGTGAACACATTTTAAGAATTAAATAGTGGCCGTATTTGGATTTTTTTTTCCTGAAGGAAGTCTGCAACTGGAGGCTGCTTGGCTAAATCTAATTGTCGAAGAGTCAGTTTTAGGTGCCTGGAAGTGATGAGTGTGATTGCTCATGTGGGGATCCAGGATGCTTGTGCTGCTCCAGTCTCACAGAGATTGACCGTTCGCACCCTCCTTTGTTCGTATTTATTGAGAGCATGGTATGTGACTTCACTAAGTTCAGCTCCCTGGCAGGAGGACATTTTTACCATGGCAGGCAAGTCAGTCTAGACCCCTTTTTGTAGAACTAAGAAAAGAACAGCACTGAAATGCCATCTCTCCTTCTTCTTATGACTTTGCACAGGTCTTTCCTTTGGTTTTAACTTTAATCCTCTCTTTCCATACCAATATGTCCTTCCAGACCTTGCTGTGGATATCGCTCTATATAAATAAAACACTGATGGCCAGTGACCAGACAGAAAGTATAGGCAGGACAAGGAGAGAGGAGAATTGGGGAAACAGGAAGAAGGAGAGAGAGACACTGCAGCCACCGCCAGGACAAGCAGCATGTGAAGGCGCCAGTCAGGCACCAGCCACGTGGCAAGGTATAGATTTATAGAAATGGGTTAATTTAAGATATAAGAACAGTTAGCAAGAAGCCTACCACGGCCATACAGTTTATAAGTAATATAAGCGTCTGATTATTTTATATGTGGATTGTGGGACTGTGGGGCTTGGTGGAACCTGGAGAGAAGCCCTCCAGCTACAAGACCTATCCACAAACACAAGCTCTCCAGTATATGTTAAAGAGCCAGTATCTTGAGAGAACACCGATTCACAGAATCATCTAGCAATTTATGTACCTCATAAACAAATGTTTGTCCAAATCTAGCATATTAGCTAAAATGCAAATAACCCCCCTAAACAAAACAACAACAACAAACAAACAAACTGGCTTATAATATATTTGCAGAAATCCTTTTTGCAAATTAGGTTGTTTTAAAGAGACCTTGTGAGGTATAACTGTGCATAACTTTTTAGTTCTATGATTGGAGCAATAGAAATGCTATGTGTATAACCATTGCACCCTTCCCAAGGAATCATGGTTAAACTGACTCCTGTCAAATTTACCCGACAGTGGGCTAGAAAAAGGTGTGAGCATTTAGAACAAAGGCAAGTGGTCACAGCTCTGTATCTGTTTGATGCCAGGAATATTTGAATAAAAATGGACACTTTTGCCAAACATTTACCTTATTTTTATCTTTTATAGGGTTTCTTGTTTTTATGTTGATACACTCGTGCAAAACAACTCTGAAAATAAATATGTAGTCTTTCCAAACTCCAACAACCACATAATGTAAAAATGGCTGCACTCACAGCATGGAAGGAGTCTTTCGGCCATCCCTACACATGGACATAGGACTTGGTGACAGTAATACCACTTCAGCCTGACTTAAAGATGCTTGCGCTGCATGACAAAAACCCATTAGGGCATGCCCTGTTTCTGAGGACTGTAGCCCAGATCTTTCTTTTTACATTGTTTACCGCTGAGAGTGGACATGATTGAATACCATATCTAAGCCTCAGAAAATATTTCTCATTTTGTTATTAAATCCCAGGGCCCTTGCTATTCCAAGTTCAGTCTGTGTGCTGGGAGCTTGTTAGAAATGTCCACTCTAAGCCCAGGTCCCAGTACACTGAGCTGAAATCTGTCTTTCACCAAAGTCCTCTGGTTTGCCTTATATGTACCATAAAATTTGAGAGGCATAACTGCCTCGACAGTTATTCATTTGTGTAAAAAGGCAGGTTTTGTCCTGGGCTGTGATGGCCCAGGGACATCAGTACCAAGAGTGAAGTCCAACCTGTGTCCCTCTCCACCTAAAGCATTCCGGCTGTGTTTTGAGTGACCTATGGGTTTGCCATGCAATCCAAGCCCATGGCCTTTTGGGCAGATGGACAACTGTCACCTCGACTCAAACCACCAGAAGGTTCCAGGGTTGGAAGGCAGCAGAATCTACTCAGCATTGATCAAATGAACTTTGCTTATCAGTGAGTTCTACTGTATATTATTAAGTGGGTATTGAAAATTCAGAGCATTAAATCTCTGGAAAAGCTGTTCTTGTGGACTAAAGGGGAAAATCGGGGATAATAGCCCTTTGGTGGTTTAGTCTCTCTTTATAATCTATGCTGTTTCAACCCTACTGTGGAAAGATGGTAGGAGAGAACAAAAGTCGAAATAACTGTAGACCCAATCACAACGACTAATTGGTTTGGATTGTGTTGAGGGAGGAACATTTTGTTAAAGTTTGCCCATGTGCCCTCTTTTGTCTCTGACACAATGGCAGGATTAGCGGCTGTTCTGGGCTTTGGATCCGGGAGGAACTGGAGAAGCACACAGCCAAGGAGGCTTCCTGGGAGCTAGATGAAGGAAAGGTCAGCAACCAGGGATGCTTGGCCTTGGAGATGGTGGCAATATCTTTTCAATAAACAAACAAACAGAGCTCCTGTTAGGCCAATTTAAGAAATTCTGTAAAATAAATCAGCGTTTCTTCATTACAATGCCAGTGTTCCTTCAGGTATCTATATTGGACTAAATATTAAGCATAGTTTTTGGGGTCTTGGTTTCAGGAGAAAATTTACAAAGAAAGTTCGCTTGACCCTTTCTATTCTGTTGCTGTCTTAGCATGCACGTAGCCTCTAACTTCTCAGTGGCTTCAAAGCTACCTTGACCAGGCTCGGCTTCTGCTTGAAGTCAGATTAGTTTCCTGGAGGCAGGTCCTACCTACTTGACTCAAGCAGTGGCATCTATCGAGTTCAACCCCATCCACTTAGTTTAATAGCCTTTGAGTGTCTTACAAGCAGAGCCATTGGCTTCCTAGTCACAGTCAAGGATTCACTGCTGTTCAGAACCACAGAGCCCCTCTCCTCAGGCTCTCCCTTGAGAAACCACTGCTTCTGTACTCTGGTCAACTAGTGTGATGGGAAAGAGAAGATTCTTGGGATGTAAGCCCCGGGACCCTTTGGTTTCTGCTCCCACAGCCCTGGGGTTGCTGGCTCACAAATGGTCATGCCTATCTTTTTATGTGGGAGCTGGTATCCAAACTCTTGAGCAATAAGCACTCTTACCTACTCACCATCTCCTCAGCACAGAAAGGCTTGCTTGATCCTCCAAATAAATATTTCTACTTTGACCTGCACAGCTTGGTCCTGGAAACCTGACTTGGAGAAGAGGGAATGAAGAAAGGACAGACACGCAGACACACATACAGAAAAGCTGGGATCAGATGGGTTGTGTTTACTCTGAAGGAGCCAGACCTAGTAAGAAGAATTTAGAACCTGAGCATGTCTATTAAGCACAGCACCTGAGGGAGGAGGGGTGAGCTAGTCTCTGTAGGGAGCAGCCTTAGATTGCAGCCATTTAGGAGGAGGAAGCTAGTTTTTGCACACACTGCCAACATTTGCACTGGGACCAGAGAAAAACTTTGCCAATTCCCCGAGCCTGACTTGAGGAAGGCTTTGTCAGTTCCCATGGGTCTCAGTCACTGGGGTTCCTGTCAATAATACACATTTACTCAGGGCCTCCTCTGCTCCCCACACACCTCCCCTCTTCTGTGAACTGCTCTGTGAGATGAATTCTTAGACATTTATGATCTCAGCACTGGGAAGGTAGAGACAGGCAGAACTCTGGGGTTTGCTGGCCAGGCAGCCTAGCTTACTTGGTGACTTCCAGGACCATGAGAGATCCTGTCTCAAATTAATGGTGGATGATGCCTGAAGAAAGATACCTACAGCCTCCCCCGTGTACAAGCACATTACACACACAAATATTAGATAAAATTCTCTGAGTGTTTTTCTTTGGATCAACTATTTTTTACTTCTGGTTAAGCAGAGGCAGATGAACATGAGAGACTAGTTTTAACTATTTCATTTTCTTACACAATTCACTCCTTTGTAGAAAATCTGAGCAACCACCATGGTTACTTAGGTAGTAGTTGGAATAGCATGAAAATATTGATGACATGATAATTAAAAAATAATTTAATGTGAAGACACAATTTAACGACAGTTGTTTTAAACAAAACATTCATGACAGGGCTGGAAGAATGACTCTGCAGTTAAGAGCATTGGTTGCTCTTCCGGAGGACCCAGGTTCCATTCTAAGCACCCACACAGCAGCTTACCACCATCTCCAGGTCCAGGGACCTCTTATGATCTCTGTGGACACCAGGCATGCATGTAGTCCACAGACATACATGCCAACAAAACACCCACACACATCAAAAACAAAAAGAAACAAATTGCAAAGGAGTGAGCCATTATACCTCACCATTTTAAGATATTAAAAGGCAATTCTGGAATTGCTCGGCAGCTGGCTGTGCTTGACTGGCCCAGGCTGACTGTCACCGTCAAGACTTACGCTTCCTCTGCCTTCCTCTGTGGCTCTATGGTCTTGGGCTCGGGCATCTGGGCCCTTGCTTCTGGCCTTCCTCTGTCAGCTGCACGTGAGGTTGTTTGCGGGTGATCTGATTTGTTGGTGATCACATGATGATTTTTGATATTACCAGTACTGCCTCAAAGAATTTATAATGAATAAGAATTTGTAATTTACAGGTCTTCCTCCTCAGCAAAGCTGTGAGAGCCCAGCAAATAGACACTTTCCTCAGATACCAGTTTTCTCTAAATGTTTGTTGAAGCATAAGCCTCTTTGGTGAGTATCTTCAGCTGTCTAAAGAGCACCAAGTGGACTTTCAGAGAGTAAATATGTTAATGATGAAATGATGTTAATTGAGATAATGTTCTGTTCATTCATTTTGCAAAATAAAGTACTCAGTATTCAGACCAGTGAAACCCTTTAGTCCACTTAATAAAATTTTATTTTCAGGTACCTGCAATGTTGGCTCCATCAACTGGCACTGAGAAGAGCAGAGCCGATGGAGACACATAGAATCACCCATCATACACTTCAATCATGAATGGAGGATCTGAGGTCCAGCTGAGGCAAGAGACTGATGGGATCACGGCATCTGTTCAGCTCATAAGACCTGCAATGCCAAGTGTTTAGAGAGGAAGTGAGGACCACCTGGCCAGCTGCTTAGACTTCCCTGCATAGCAAGACGGGTCTGGAATCTCTGAAGATGTGCTCTCCCACACAATGCAAAAAAGGAAAACTTTATGGTTTTTATAAATTGGTAGGTGATAGGTAGATGTCTGGTAGCCTCTGCTATAAATAGAGATAAATAGTCTCAGTCTCATTTCATGCCATCCAATACTGCTAAGGGATTTAGTTCAGTTGAGCAAATGGGGATATAGCTCAACCTTGGGAAGCCCTCAAACTTTACAAAGGAAAGGGAACTCATGATGTAAATGACAATGGGTAATGAGACTTAGTATGCAAATACCTTTTATAAATAAAAGTTTTCAAAAGCAACTAACAGGGACACGATAAATATATGGTCAGGAAATTCATAAAAGTTAGAAGTATAATGCCGGGCGGTGGTGGCGCACGCCTTTAGTCCCAGCACTTGGGAGGCAGAGCCAGGCGGATCTCTGTGAGTTCGAGGCCAGCCTGGGCTACCAAGTGAGCTCCAGGAAAGGCGCAAAGCTACA